GCTAGGATTAGAGGCGTGAGCCACCGCGCCCAGCCACATCTTAACTTCTTTATCTCATTACCATATGCAGGACAATGAGACACCTTGGCTTGTTTGCAAGACCCCAGGCGCTTGGTTATCTGTCACAAAGCTATCTGTCATGAGGAACAGTTCTGTTTGGTCAACAGGCCGTGCCCGGGCCTATTGACCTCTGGCGCCAAGGAGAGCACACCCAGTTTTGCTGACTCTGGACTTAAGCCAATTTTGCCCAGGGACGGTCCCTACAAAGTGACTATCAAACATTCACATATATTTGGGGTAGAGGGTTGGAGTGTGACTGGAAAACTTTAAAAGTGTTAGGAACCATAGCCAAATTTAAATTAGAATCCATTAAATTTATTAGAAATAAAGCCAAAGCATCTCAAAATATCAGTTACTGTTACTAAAAGTTCAGTACTTGTCCCTGAGGCTGAAATCAGTGAGAACAAAGAACAAGTGGTTTGAGGAAAGGGAAAAAGAAGTTTATTAACTTGTAGGCAAATGAGGAGGACTGCAGACTAGCATCTCAAAAGACCATCATCCTGCCTTTAGGCAGAAAAACAGAGCTTTTTAAAGGGAGGGTTTCTGTAGTAGGGTTCAGGCCTACTTGACCAGTGTCACATGTTGTGGCTTCAGGCTGTTGTTGCTTAACTACAATTGGTGTTTTTGTTCTCTGGCCATCTCAACTCTATCTCTTGTGACTATGATCTTGTGATCCTTACCCAGACAATTCTGATTTAAGATAATAGAGAACAATTCTGCTCCTTTGATCTCTGGCCACACGTCAGTTTTTTTGAACTTTGAACTCTGAAACCATTTGTACAGTCACTGACAGTACAAATTTCATTGAATCAATTCAAGACTTGAATGATTTCAAAAGCCCTGGTCTCAGGAGAAGATTAAACTTTCAACCTGTCTCCTGAAATGTATAAAACCAAACTTTAACCCAACCCTAGGGAGATCACTTGCTCGAGGCTTCTTGGAAGTGGCTCTCTGGGCCATCCATGGTCACAAATATTTGGCTCAGAATAAAGCTCTTTAAATTATTTTACAGAGTTTGGGTTCTTTTCCGTTGACAGTCATTTCAAAGTTACTTTCCTTATAGGGTTAAAACACTGGGGACTTCCTCGTAGTCACTTGCTAAGAGGAGGGAGTGATTTAACCTTACTTGCTGTTTAATACCCATTGACTAAGGGAGATATGATACAGCAATCCTTTAGTATACTTTTCTGCTTTAGTATACTTTAGTATACTTTTCAACTCAGGTTGACTGGAATCTCCTAGTTTTTTTGGAAAACTGGGTTTCAAAGTTCAGTTTGATTGTTGGCACTTAGCACAAGCGACTCCCTTCTGGTTTAGTCTGGTCTGCTGGGGCCTAGTCCCAAAACAGCAGCCTCCATGAACTTTAACAAAGGTCACATAACCACTAAATGGCAGAGCTAGGGTTGGAATTTAGATCTTATCCTACTCTGCAACTTCTTAGATTCTCCAGCTTGCTGCTTTGTGTAGCAGAGTGGAGAAAGGTTGTGGTGAGCTGGAGAGGACAGGGAAGGAAAAGGAATGGGACACAGCATTTTTTCTGAAGAAACTGCTGATGCTATTGGGATGATATTTGGAAAGTCACAAGAGTAGTAGCAAGAGGTGAATTGAAAAACACCGAGATTGTATAGGAGGAGGCGGACTTTGGCTACCTGCCTGAGCCATGAGCCAAAGCTTAAGTCTGCTTACAATACTGAACAAAAGCTTTGAGAATGATTCACACCCAGCTTCAATAGAAGGTAGTTCTGCTTTCTTTAACAGGACATGGCAACCTCTGGAACAAGGGTCCATCAGCCCCAGTCAAAACCAGCACAAACCGATCACTGCCAAGATGAAGCCCAAAGTTGATCACTCATAAACCTTCTGCCTCATTTTAATGCTAAAAATCACAGCTAAGGGTGGAGATTTAACATGCTAAGGAGACATGCGATGTATGAAGAAGGATGATCGAAGGATGGGGCAGCTGCCCACAAAACTCCGCCTCTATATGCTACGATTTCAATGCTGGCATCAAACTTTCTCTCTCTACCCTTTAAAAGTTCCCCAGCCCTTTGTTCGGAGAGCCAGTCTGGCTACTCCTTAACCAGCACTGTCTCCCTTTTGTTGGAGCAATCCCCACCCCACAGCCTTGCCTATACGAATTCCTTTTTCCATCTCATGCCAATTTCTATTGACTTGGGGACCAAGAACCCCAGGGCTGGTAACAACGCCATTTTTAAAAATCTCTATATCTCCATTTGAATAAGTTTTTTCTTCATAGGACCCATTAGTAATGCACAATAAAAGGACAAACAGATTTCAAAACTAGAATGAAAAAGTCCTTTTAGTGGAAATACTGGGGCTCCGTGAAAGGACAGGCACAATGCTTTCAAATATAAAATGTGCTTCTTTATATGACGTTGGGTAGTGGGTTGTTTCTGAAAGCAGAAAAGTATACTAAAGGATGGCTGTATCATATCTCCCTTAGTCAATGGGTAATAAACAGCAAGTAAGGTTAAATCACTCCCTCCTCTTAGCAAGCATTGCTTTTGCTTGAAAACATTTGCTTTCAGAGTCTTACACTGCTGCAACTGGGCCATCAGGTTCTCTTTGTTCCTTACTGTTAAATTCTGAATATCATGTTTAACACTAAATTCTACCTGACAGGTACCACCAGGAGAGCAGCACGCCGTCCAAGGACTCTACTCTCTGTCCTCCTTCAGACATCAAGAAGCTGTCCCTTCAAGGCCAAGGTGCCTTTCGACCCTTACCTTCCCCCTCCAGGAGGAGCTGTCATTCCGTACCACCTACTGGCCAGGCTGTCAGCGAGCCATCTTGCACAACAAACACAAAAGAACCCCAGGGACTTCCAGATCACAAAGACTCTCTAAGTGAAATTCCTTTTAAGAGCAATGGGAACGGAAAGGAGTCTTACTTAGGAAATTCCTTCCTGGCTTCCCCTTTACAGAGCAACTCAAACCCAGAGAAAAAGGAGTCGGAACTTCATTTGTATGTTATTTCCACAACCTCATCAATATTTCTGCACTTAAGAAGTTCATGGAAAAATTACATTATAGTAAGTGTCCTCATAAGTTAACCTTGACTTGAATATATACATTTTTGAAGGGCAAACATGCTGTCCCTGCTCTACCTCCCATTTTGGAAATTTATCCTTGGAATTTAATAACATTGTGAAAGACGAAATGCACTGGACAGTTAAGGAGATGATTTTACTCACGCTGTTGCAATAGGGAAAATGCTCATGAATGAAGAGTGTCTTACAGACAAGGAGAAGAACCTGGGATTTCATAGAGGCAGGTTAACAAGGTAGTCATCAGTGGGTCACCTGGGAGTCATGAGGAAGGAGGGACACAGATCTTATCTTGGAATATTTGTGAGCACGTGGTCTTCTGCAGTTCTCTAGGGTGTCACAGACTTCAGATAAAGTTCAATTATATCACTAATGTTTCTGTATTTCTTAGCTGCACCACTGAAAGTATAATAGGTTAAAGGGAGTCACTGTTGTAAGATCCGATAATTTTATCTGGAGATTGCTAGTCTAAGTCCCTCCTTTAATAAATGAGGAAACCGAAGCAAGCACAAAAATATTTAAGCGACTTACTCAAGATTATGTAGAGACTTTAGGGGCAGGATCCAAACTCACATTTAGGGGTCTTTTCATTATACCAGGATCAGTTTTAAAAAATAAGTAAAAGAGTAATATAATCCTTTTGTGTTATCTTCAGTGGTATGTAATTTTTGCTGTTGATCTTTTGTAAGGGTCGAAGGGAAGTGCACGGTAACTAGCTCCATTTTGCTTCTCACCCTCTGTGGTAATATTCTTTCAGTTAAAAGTTTCTGTGTAGCCCTGCACAGAGGTTAGAAGAAAGGTGACAATCGTACCTTTTCCAAAACTACCTCCCAAGGAGATAAGGAAAACATATATATGAGTAACAATGCTATGTTAAAGATTTTCAGGAACATCCTGACCTTCGTCCTCCAAAGTTAACTGACCAAGAGCAAAGAAGTTTTACAACCTCCTCAGACCCTCACAGATGCCCAGATGTCTGAAGTCCTTGGTTATCTCTTGGAACCCAACCTCCCTCCTTCCTCTTCCCTTAAGATAAAAAGATGCTTAAAGTTCATACTAACTTATGATGGTTCTTTGAGATGTTAGTCCACCATCTTCTTGGTTTGCAGGCTCTCCGAATAAAAGTCTCTTTCCTAGCCCCAGCACCTTGCCTCTGGAGGTATTGGCTGTCCTGTAGTGAATGGTACAAGCATGACCTTGGTTCCACTTTCAACATAATAACATTAATGAATATGAAAGACTATTTAACTCAGAAGAAACTAAGAAACAGGGTTTTTATAAATGGCTAAAAATTGTAAAAGATTACAAGGTGACTCATTTTTTTCTCATAACAGTTCAGAAGACTTCAAATATTTAAAAATCCTCTCTAAATTTTTAAACAGCTTTCTTCAAATTAAAAATGTAAACAAATCATAAATAAAGGAAAACCCTAGCCTATTAAAAAAAGATCTCAAGGCTGGGCGCGGTGGCTCACGCCTGTAATCCTAGCACTCTGGGAGGCCGAGG